TCTGTTCTGCTTAGTCATACTTCCCATCTTCCCTTCTTTCTCCTCTCGTCCTTCTTTCTTTACTGTCACTTGAAGTTTTCCTTCCTCCCCTCCTTCCCCGTCTCCCCTTCCCTCTCCCGGTCTGGCCTGTGCATGGGGACAGGAGAGCACTCAGGCAAGACTTCCTAGGAGGAAGGGTACCTGAGCAGAGTCTGCAAGGAAGTGTGGGTTCAGGCAGTGAGCTGGAGAGGGTGGGATTCAGAGGGAAGGGAAAGAAGCAGCAGGAGCATCACACGAGGCCCCCAGGGGGAACAAGCAGCGGCACACATGGGCCCTGAGGGTGACGGCACGAAGTCATGGCTGGGATGCCCCGCAATGCACTGGGACTGGCAGGAGGGGAGGAGAGCAGAAGCCAGGTGCAGAAATCCAGGCATCCTACACTGTGTTGGATTCTGGTCTCTCTGGGATGGGTTCTAAACTGGGGCCTTAAAGAAGGTGACAAGACGCTAGAAATCCCCGGGTGTAGGATGAATGCTGGAGGCTTGCTGGATACAAGGCATTGAATTACGCCACTGAAACTGTCCAAGCAAGAGGTGCTGGTGCTCCAAGATACGGGCAGGATCGTGAATGCTCTGCTCCTCACTAGGTCCTGTCCTAGATCTGCCTCTCATGGATGCCAGGAGAAGGAGTGGCTGCCAATGTGCTACACTCCTGGCCATGTCTCAGCATCTGAAAATAGGCTTTTGGTCCCAATGGCCAACCCTTGAACATCGTCTTTCCCAGCTTCTCCCTTGCTCACCCTGCTTCCTGTCTGCTATGCCAAGAGCCACCCTCTCTCTCCTGCCACGCCCCTCAGCCGTGCTGTTCTCCCCGGGAGCCAGCAACTAAGACTAGACCTGAGCCAAAACAAACCTCTCTTTCCTCAGGTTGCTTTCTGTCCCAGCAATGAAGACAGCGACTCTGATGATGAGGAGGAGAGAACCAATGAACTAACAGCCTGGACACAGAGTGGGTGGGAAAAGGGAGAGAGATACCAAGAGCTGTTCACGGGCTAAATCTGAGCAGCCGCTAAGATCAGCAGCTCTTAAGACTGGGGGTGGCATCAGGGAGGAGGTTAAGCCTTGAACGTGATAAATTTGAGATGCCGAGCAGATACAAAGGGATAAAGTGATGCTTGTGTGCATGGGGCTTGGTGCAGGGAGACTGAGAATGCTGGTGTAACCTGGGAGCCATTGGCAGCCAACAAGCCCAGAGATGCCATGTGATTACAGAAGAGACGTTCTCAGGATTGAAGCCTGGACTCAGCTGGCGGGTCCCAGGGTGCGAAGGCAACAGAAATCAGCAGCCCACAGTGAGGGGGGCACCCAGAGAAAACAGCGAAGAAAATCCCAGGGAGGGGTAACCTTGGAAAATGTTGGTGTGACATCAGCCTTTTCCCTCACCTCCCATAAATCAGGTGAAACCAACAAGGAAAATGAAAAGAAAGCTGTACACCACATATTTAGTGGAACCAGCAGACAGCTATAACCACAAAGTAGGCAGATTTGTGCCCGATGTAGTGGAGTATTGAACACGGCTGTGGGGAAGCAGGAAGGTGAAACCCACAGTTGCATATCCCAGAGCACAGGTGAAGCACATTCCTTGGGGGGAGATGCCATGGTGCACAGCCAGGTCTTGGGGCTCAACCAGTGGCCAGAGCTCCCCAGATGCCACTGGATCAAGAAAAGGGAAGTAAACAGTGTACACCATAAACACAAACTGAGTTTAATTATATCAACAAGAATGCAAAGGGGGGAAGGGGACCTGGAGGAGGGGAGGGTGGGGGAAGGGTTATAAAGCTGTATTATGTATGCTGCATTATATATGCTGTATTATATATGCTGTATCATACATGCATACGTGCTCACCAGGTGACTGAGAAGCAAACGTACTGCAAACATGTACCAATAAAACAATTGAAAAAGTAATTTAAAAAAAAAGAAAAGGGAGGTAAAACAGGAGGAGAAATCATACAAGGAAAAAGAAAAACTTTACATTTTACACTGTTGTATGGTTGCCTGTCCCTGCAAACAAAAAAATAAAAAATAAAAGATAAACAACTGGCAAAGGTGACTCTGGTCCTGGAGTGAACGCTTGCCGACCTGGACACTATTCGGTTTCCTCACCACGCAGGTCCTCCAAACAGCTGGCCCAGGAAAGTCAATGGCTCAAGATGAATAACTGAACCAGAGCCAGAAAAAGCACTGTGTACTTAAAAGAAGAAATAATCAAAGCAGTAGAATGCAGGAAATAAAGAACATTCATCAAAAGGTATGGCCACAGAGAAAATAAAAGCTTTGATCACCCTGCTACCGTGTGGCCGGTGGAGCAGTCAGGCTGATTCAGCATCCACTCCAACTCCTTTCCAGCGTCTGGAGCTGGCAGGGAAATGACAGTGTCCTTGGTCAGACTCAGAGCTGGGGCTCTTCCCGTGACAGAAGCCCACGAGGCAAAGGAGTCACCTACCATCTGGAGTAGTGGCAACAACAGGACCCCAGAGCCAGCAGTGGAGGGCTCGTTTCCGACCTGTGCTCCTCGGCGTCCTCTCAGGATGGGTGACAGCAGTCGTCACCTTTGGCGGCAGCGCTGCCCACACACGGGCACTCTCCTCGGCTCTGCGGCCCTGACTGCACAGCGCTGATGACCAGACCCTTAACATCCCAGGAGAGTTTGTAGGCTAGCAAACACCTTTTAATAAACTCTGTAATTTCAAAACCCTAATACAAATTCTGAGTCTTGTAACTGGAAAGACTGGTCAATGTCACAAACTTAAAAAGAAAAAAAAATAATAAAGCAAAGAACCACTATTTAACAAACCCTCAAAGAAAAATACACAAGGTTAGGGAACAGATAATGAGCGAAAAGGAAGAGGTAAAATATGAGCTGCAAAGGTCAAGAAGGAGAGGGAAAACCTACAGATGAAGGTAAGAGAGAAAATAGAATATAAGAAAAAACTTCAATTACTATTGTTAATTGAAAATAAAAAATAAAATATTTAGGACTCAGAAATAATGCAAAATACCTGCATGAAATAAATTTTAAATGCTATCCCTGCTTTTTCTGATTTCCTGTTGATGGAGTATTATTTTCCATCCACTGACTTTCAGTCTATGAATTTCTTTTTGAATTAAATGTGTTTCTTTTATGCAGCATATTGTAAGATCTTGCTTTTCGGTCCATTCTGACAGTCTGTGTCTTTTGATTGGTGAATTGAGCCCATTTACATTGATGGTTACACTGACAAGTATTGATTATCCTTGTCATGTTATTTTACTGGATTTCATTCAATCTCAATGAAAATTCCAATAGACTATCTTACAAAATTAGAGAAAACAATCCTAAAATTCATTTGGAGCCAGAAGAGATCTAGAATAGCAAAGTCAATTCTGGACAACAAACACAAGGCGGGAGGTATCACAGTCCCTGACTTGAAGTTATACTACAAATCTACTGTGATAAAAATAGGAGGGTACTGGCTAAAAACAGACCCAAGGATCAATGGAACAGATTAGAAGATTCAGAAACAACTCCAAACACACTCAGGTACTCCTTTGACAAAGGAGCTGAACACTTTCAATGAAAGAAAGGTAGCCTCTTTAATAAATGGTGCTAGAAAAACTGATTTACATACACCAAAGATTAAAACTCGACCCACGTGTCACACCATGCACCAAACTAAAATCAGACTAGATCAAAGGCCTAAATATTAAAGCAAAAACACTTAATTTTGTGGAAGATAGAATAGGTAGGACTCTTGAAAACATAGATATAGGCAAAGACTTTTTGAACAAAGTCCCGATCACACGGAATATCACGAAGATCAACAACTGGGATCTCATCTTATTGAAAAGGTTTACAGCAAAATAAATCACCAACAGAGTGAAAAGACAACCCACAGAACTGGGTAAAAATTTTAGCTAGTTGTTTCTTAGACAAAGGACTAATATCTAGAATATATAAAGAACTAAAAAAAAAAAAAAAAAAAAAAAAAA